ATTATTTGCATCCACTTCTGGTTTCAATTACTGAATCATTAGTGACAGAGCCCGAAATAACAATGACTTCAACAGGGAAGAGGTTTTTCTCTCACAGATCATGAAGCCTGGAGGGAGGTGTTTTGAGGCTGGTGAGACAGCTCCACATTGTCCCCCTGGACCTAGCTCCTTCCTTTATCTTTCTTCTCTACCATACGTAATATATAGTTCCTGCCCCCAAGGTTGCTTCATGTCACAGTATGCCTGCTAGTGCTCCAGCCATCACATATAAGTTCTAGGAATAAAGAAAAAGGAAAAGAGAGAAGGGCACAAGTCATATCTGTCAGCAGAGTAAATAAACTTTAAAGAGCTATCCTGTCACTATTGCCTATGTCTTCCTGGCCACCCAGTGAGAGGCTCAAAAATGTAGCCTGGGAAACGTAGTTCTATAAGTGGGCCCATTGCCACCCACAACAACACAGGGCCTCTCTTATAAAAAGAAGCAGAGAATAGATACTGGGAAGCAACTTAAAAGGTGAAAGCATTTTCTAGATCTGCACTGCCCAGTATGGGTGCCACGAGCCTTACGTGGTTGTGTAAATTTAAAGTCATAACAATAAAACTTTAGTTCTTCAGGTGCACGTGTCACCTTTTGAGAGCTAGTAGCTCCCACAATGGACAGCGTACGTGTACGAATTTCCTTCATTGCAAAAAGTTCTGTTGGGAACTGCTGGTCTGGACTTCCCATAACTACCACATGGCCATTGTATGATTGGTGTTTTTATTATTTTTACAATTGGTAAAATTTATGGATTGGGTGAAGAAACCTGGTAAAGCATATTAACAGTGGCCAGGCAGATGGGGGGGAGGAGAAGGGATGGGAAGGGGAAAGAAGAGAGTTTTAATAGTAACCGATGAAGAGTGTCGAATGCTTCAGATTTGCAGATTGATACGATCAGGGAGAAAGTGGATTTGGCAGTCTGCGCCCTGGAGAGCAGTGTGGCCCAACCCCCAGTTCCGATGGGCGATGGGCGAGGAGGCACAGGAGTGTTACTGAGCGACAAGCTCGCTGCCCGGTGTGCATAGAAGCCAACACTTGGCGCTGGTTTTTGAAATAAAGGAAAAGCTTTATTGCAAGATCAACCAGCAAGGAGACAGGAGGAAGGCTCAGATCTGCCTCCCTGGTTTGGGGTCTGGGGCAAGTTTTAAGGGGTTGGAGAGCAAGGGAGAAAGTATTAGGCATGCTGGCTTGGCAGGGTCTGACCAGACAGCTCCGAGTCAGTCCGTATACGGCATTCGAGGTGGTGGGCACTAGATCTTCCTCGTTGTGGGAACTTCCCCTTTGGAATAGGCTCCGGTGGTGAAGTGCTGGTTACGTGTTGACTTCGTGGTTCCATGGAGAGGAAACATCGGTTGCAAGTGCTATTTGAGGTCAGAGTTTCTCTCCTCTGCGCATGCCTGGGCTGTCTGACTTGCAGTTTCAGCCCCACCGTATCTGCAAAACAACTTAAGAAACATTAGGCAACAGGGTAGAACCCGTTTGAGCTGGTCCTGTGGTTACGGGAGGAGGTGAGAAAATGGAAGTCAGCTCTTAGCCGTGACTCCTGAAGAATTTCCGTTGTAGATCACGGAACAGAGCCAGGGCAGCAATCGGCGAGAATCAAGGGCCTGTTCTTGTGCTTGTGGTTTGTATGTTCGTTTCTGGCTTTTTTCCCTGGATGCGTAGATTGGAGTGTGGCTGGAGGATGCGATCAGGGATCCCCAAAGAGGAAAAGGTTTATGATAAAAGGGGAATATTGGGGGAGCCCAGTTTGGTGGAAAGCAATATGAACTCGTAACGGGGAAAGGTCATCCAATTGACACTGGGTGTGGTCAGTAGGGACGTGCCTTTCTTTGGCTTGGGCGCAGGAGAGAAGGAAGGGCAGGACCAGACAGAGTAGGCAAGCGAGTTTACGTTTCTGATGGACGATATTTTCTCGGTAAACATGGAGGAACAGCTAACTGCTCAGTGTGAAAGACAAGTGAGTGGCTTGGGAACAAGGAACACGAAAAAGAGCTGGAAAAGTTGTAAATGGAAAAGAGGTCAGAATTCCAGATAAAGATTGAGAAGAAAATTATATGGAATCCCACCAAATCCTCTCTTATTCTGATATGCATTGTGCCTTTCTGGTGCACATTAATAATAATAAGTAACATCTATATATCGAATACTTGCGGAGTGTCAGGCACTGTGCTACGTATTTAATTTCATAGTTCCATTCAATCCTCCTAACAGCCTTTGGGGCAGGAGCGATTATCATGCCCATTTTACAGATGAGCAAGTACAGAGAGAAACAAAAGCGGAGTTGGATCCCAGTTTGATCACCTGTAGAGTTGTGCACCTTGGGCAATTTACGTGACCTCTTGAGGCCTCAGATTTCTCTTGGAGAATAGGGATGGAGGTCTCTATTTCATAACATTATTAGGAATATTCAGCGAGATAGTATGTGCGAAAGAGCCTAATATATGCTGGGCGTTTGATTTTTTTTTTTTTTTTAAACCATCCTAGACTATTTGGTTGATGAGCTGACAATTTGATTCAAAGTCATTGTGACTCGAGTTTGTACTCTCTGGAAGACATGGCTTCACAGCACAGAAGTGAGGATCTCTGTTAACTCCTGCTGCCAGGCAGGTATCATAAAGGTGTGATGCAGACTGGTATAAAAAAAAAATAGTAAGAGTTAAAAAACAAAAACAGAAGCAGTAGCAGTAGAGGCAGTGGGGCTGAACTGGAGCACACAAAGGTGTCATATTCAGACAGTGTAAAAAGCTCATCCCCACGCGAGTTATGGTCCACAGCCTGCTGGCTTCTGGGGACTATAGTTTAAACTATAGATTCAAACTAGGTCTTGTTTACTATGTGACTTTGAAAGTCACTTGGCCTCCTTGTACCACAAAGGGAAACTGAACACTGGCCTGCATCTCAGAGAAAGTGCTCAGACAGGCTGGCTACCGTGTGTCGTGAAAAAATTCCTACTAGTGCAATTAACAAGTGGCAGGGGCTGTGGTGTGACTGCAGTGCGGCAGACGGTAACAGGGACCCGGAGGGTTCCCCTTGGCAACAGATCTCCGTGCGCTCCGAGGACGCTGATTAACAGCACTGCTTGTCCCTTGCCAGGAGCAAGGCAGAACCCTGCTTTGCTGCAGGTGTGTTGAGAGCTGGAAACCCGGGCAGAGGCAGGGCCAGGCCACGCCCAAGCAGAGCAGGCTTGACCTCAAGTCTCCTGCATGCCCTAGCCACTCACAGGCGTTCCCCCAAAAAGATCTAAATCGCTTTTCCAGGCCAAAGCTGGAAATCCTGAGATCTCCCTGACCCAAAAGAAACACTCATTGCCTCATTGTTGTGGTTGAAATCGCTGCTCGTATTTATTAGAAAAGCAGAACAAATGCATCTGTCCAAGCACTGGCTGTAAATCAGCCAGCCTAAGGCTCTCCATTGCCTTGGGTGGGAGCAAAACCGCTTTCATGAAATGTCCCCAGGAAGCATAAACTAGAAGATGCACCTTCTACCGTACCAAACTACGAAGGACAGAGCTAGCAAAGTGGGGGCAGAAGCTGGGCAGCGTGAGTGCCCCTGGGCAAAAGTCCCCATGTTCTCTATGCCGGAGTATAGACGTCTTCCCCTTGGGCAGCAGACTGCCACCAGGACACAGCGACACAAGACTCATCCCCAGACTGGCTGCCACACCCGGCTTCCCTAGAGGAGGAAGAGTGGAGATCTGGCAGTACCTGCCACTTGCAATGGAGAAGACAGCCATCAGGCCTTGCAGTGTCTGGGGGGTGGGGTGGGGGACAGATCCCGATGAGGGGCCAGCAGCCCCTCTCCGTGGAACGGCAGGGAAGACACTTGGCCTGGAGGGCCACTGTCAGATGATAACCAAGAGACCACTCGGCTGACTTCTTAAAGTCACCACTGGGACTCAATCACATGTGCCCAAGTGATAAGTACAGTGACTTCTCTCCCTTGACTCTTACTGTCTTACAGCGTTTCTTTCCAAAGAGGGCGGAGTGCTTTGATCATGTAGGAACCCACGTGACAAGTGCACTGATGTGCAAATATTCCCATCAGGGTATAGACAGGCCTTGTGTGTGTGTGTGTGTGTGTGTGTGCTGGGGGGATATTTGCATAAACAGCAGAGATTAGAATGCCTGGAACAAGCCCTGTGGGAGCCTGGATGGGAAGGAGGTCAGGTCACCTGATCCCAGCAGGTAGGGAGGTGTCTTTGCAGAAGTTGTTCGCAGTGTACTGGGCAGCTTCCCTCGAATTCAGACGTTAGAAGCAATCACTGAGCAAACAAGAAGTTAGAATTTAGCAGTGGCTGAGATATTGCTCAGCTTCTCCCAGTTTAGTGACACTCAGATGAAACATGGCGGGCCCATAAAGGCAATGGCCCTCTATGTTAAAGAGGCTCACCCGTGACAGCTTTAACTCTGGGTAGCCGGTGTCGGAAATGAGGTGTAATGTAATTCATCTTGTTTAATTACCTGCTGCCCTGCTCCCGACTCAGTTCCCTCACCTGTGATGAGCTTGTTGGGCCGTAACCTGCCTCAGCTGGGAAGGAAATGCTGGCTGGGCGGGGACGCCCCGCACGGGTTCACAGGCATCCTCCTTCCAAAGATGTGGACAAAAAGGCACCAGAAGGTTCTAGGACCTGGGAGCTGAGAACGACACTGGTTCTCTTATGAAATAAAGGCTGAGCCCCTGGATGTTTTTGCACCTAGAGATTCTAAAATGTCCGCTTCCCAGTGAGGGAAGTTTCCAGGCTGCTCCCGGAGCAGAGGCTGGTACTCGGGGACCCCCAGGGGCCAGACTGGGAGGGCAGCGCGTGGGGTCTGATGCCGCCGAGCCAGCCGGGTGAGCACCCAAGGGGAGAGCAAGGCTCGCCGTTGCATCCGCCTAGGCTCTACCGAATGCACCATGAGTGTCTCCTGCAAGGTTTGGGGCCGGCGCACAGCCCGAGCCCCCGCAGGCCCCGCGCCTGCTACCCGCGCAGGTAGGGGGCGCGCGCGGGCTGGGGGCCCGGGGCGTTGAGGTGCGGCCGCGCGCCGGTCGCCAGCTTCTCGCTGAGCTTGCGGTTCGCCAGCTCCAGGTGGCGGCCGTTCTTGCGCGCCTGCCGCAGGGACCGCTTGACCTTCTTCACCCGCTCGCGCAGCTGCCGGTTGCGCTTCTCCAGGGCGGCCACTTTCTGCTGCAGTTTCTTCACGTGGTCCTCCTCCTCGAACAGGGCCCTCTGCACCGAGGAGCACATGAGCTGGGGACACAAACACCGTGCAGGGAGACGCAGGTGAGTGGCGCGCAGCGCCCTGGGTGCGTGCGGGGGGGGGGGGGGGGTTGCAGAAGCGTCCGCGGCGCTGCCGGGCGCCCCCCCGATCGCCCCCGCCCCACGATGAGGGTGAACCTCGGGGCGTCCCTGACCGTGACCCGTCTCTGCCCTCCACCCTGGAATCCCGCAAACAGAGCCCGTCTTTTGCTTTCCATACTTGGCTTCCTGGGAGGATTTAATTTTAGAAAGATACTCCGAATATTTGTCACACGCAGCAAAAAGGAAAGAGCACCTGTCAATCACTAAAAGACCGAAACCCCAAACAGAAAAATGCGCAAAGAACATGGATAGTTCATAGGAAATATAAATATCTCTTAAATATATGAAAAATGCTGAACCCCCCTCTTAATAAGATAAAAGCAAACTAAAGCCAGAGTGAATTACCATTTGTCACATACTCAACGGGCCAAATCATGGAAGAGAGGATTTGGGGAAGCAGGCACTGTCGTAAACTGCGCGCAGAGTGTAAGCCTCTATAAAGAGCAGTTTGGTGCTATCAAAATGAAAACTGCATATACCTTTTGATCTCATAATTCTGAGCCCTTCTTATGCTCTCATGGACAAAGCGCCGTTGCAGTATGTGTACAAACATATTACAGCATTATTTGTTACATTAGAAGGTTGGAAACAATCTAAAAATACCTATCGAGAGGTCTGCTTAAATAAATTATAGTAAATCCATACAATAGAAATGTTTTCGGACTTTGAAAGAACAAGGCAGGCCGGGCGCGGTGGCTCATGCCTGTGATCCTAGCACTTTGGGAGGCCGAGGTGGGCAGATTGTTTGAGCTCAGGAGTTTGAGACAAGCCTGTCAACGGAAAAAAAGACCAAACTCTGTAAAATAATTTTAAAGAGATTTACTCTGAGCCAAATTTGAGGACCATGACCTGGAGCCACACCCAAGAGGCTTTGAGCAGGGGACTCGCTCAGGTTGGGTTACAGTTTGGTTTTATACATTTCAGGGAGGCAGGGGTTACAGGTAACGTCATAAATCAATACATGGGAGGCATACATTGGTTTGGCCCGAAAAGGTGGGCCATCTCGAAGCGGGGGCTTACAGGTTATAGGTGGGTAAAAAGATTCTTTGGCTTGTAATTGGTTGAAGACATGAAGCTTTGTCTAGAGGCTTGGAATGTTTCAACATAAGGAGCTCTTTATCAGAGATAAGCCACTGGACATAGATTTGTTGTGTAAATTGAGGACCTGCAGGTTCGTCTTGCATACCCTTAGGCCTGTTAATGGGTTACAAAGGATGTCACCAAGAAGGGAGGGGGGCATGATAAGGCATGTCTGACCTCCTTCCTCCTGGCAGGCAATTTAGTTTTAGGCTATTTGGTCACGAGGGGGTCCATTTAGTCAGCCAGTGGTGGGGGTGAGCCTTAAAGTTTTATTTTAGTTCCCAAGCCTGAGCTAGAGTGAGACCCCGTCTCTACTAAAAAAAAAAAAAAATAGAAAGAAATTAGCTGGACAACTAAAAATATACATATAAAAAATTAGCCAGGCATGGTGGTGCATGCCTGTAGTCCCAGCTTCTCGGGAGGCTGAGGCAGAAGGATCGCTTGAGCCCAGGAGTTTGAGGTTGCTGTGAGCTAGGCTGACTCCACGACACTCTAGCCTGGGCACCACAGTGAGACTTTGTCTCAAAAAAAAAAAAAAAAAAAGGCAGCACCATGTAAATGGCATTGTAGCAATATGAAGTGTTGTTTGTATTAAAAGCACATGCATTGCATTGATTGCATTGTGTGATAACCAAGACTATGATATAGTATCTATGTGTATCTATGTTTAAATGCCAATACACAAGAAACAGCTAAGGCTATAGCTATATCCAGGCAGCAGAGGAGACAGGAGAAGAAAATTTATTTTCACGTGTGCACTTTTTGAATTTTGTATTATATGCTGGTATTACCTTTATAGATATGTGTCTGTATATAAAGAGGTCTTCTCATCTCTAGTCTCTTTCTTCTCCCATCCGTTCTACACTGTCAAGAGCTAAGATCCCAAAGAGAGGCTTGAACCTTGACTCTTCCTCTGCTTAGAAATAGCCAGCGTGCCACTCTCTACGCTGCAGTATGGTGATGATGGGGTTAAATGCCCGGACTCTGAGGCCAGGCTGCCTGGGATTCAAGTCCTGCCTCTTCCTTGGGCAAGCGATGTGACCTTGGGCAAGCTTCTTAAGCTCCGGGTAATGGACTCTTTGCGGCATTAGCCAGCCCCCACTTTGGGACTGCAGGATCTGTCCCCCACCACCTACCCTTGGAGTGCTGCAGGCTGACAGCCCTCAGCTGGGTATCTCCCCAGAAACTGCTGCCTAAGATCGCACCTGCTTCCTTGGGCCACCTGTATCCCATGACTGGCTGACACAGGGTTTGAAAGCCAGGGCTCCTCGCCCCAACCGGGAAGATTCTGAAGCACCATCCCAGCCTCAGAGCGTCCCCTGGTGGGCCACGGCCTTGGTGGAGACAGCATCGCAGGCCACCTCCTGCCTCTGCCCCTCCCTTCCCCTCCCAGGTGCAGTCTGCAAACCCCCGGCACACCACTCTCACCTGAGTGCACCTCTCGGAGCCCCTGCCCGGGCAACAGTCTCGCCATGCGTACGATGGGATAATTACGGTGGCTGGAGGGTTTCGTGAGTTTTACCTGAAAAGTGCTTAGAACCGTGCCCTGGCGCATAGTAAACGTTCACTGTTAGTCATTTTAGGGTAGAGTCAAATCATCTAAAGCTCTTAACCTCTGTGATGGGACCCAGCCTACATCTCCGGTCTTACTGTTAATTCTTCTGTTCACACACTTTACACCCAAAGCAAACTGGCACCTGGCCCTTCATCCAGCACATCTGTGCTTGTTCAGCTCAGCGGCTCTTCCTTCTGCCTGGGGGGCTGTTCTCCCCCAGGTCTGTCTGGAGAGCTTAGAAGCCCTCTGCGGGTCCCCTTCCACGTTGCTTTGCGCAGGGTCTCCCTCTGTACCTGGCATGCCCCCTCCCTGTCTGTGCCGCACCCTGAGGCTGTTCAGAACGCACTGGCCAGGTAGCCGCAGCGCCAGGGAGAACGGGTCTCAAGCCTTGACAGATTGCAAGCTCCTTAAGGCCTAGTTCGCGTCGGTTTTTGTATCCTTGTTGCCCTGGCCATTTTAGGCATACAGTAAAAAAACAAACAAAAAAACTGGAGTCAAGTGAAGTGTTCCAATAATACCTGTCCTTTAACAAGGAGCTTTGGGCTCCTGGGGATGCCACTGTTACAGGGGAGACCACGCGTGCAACACTGCCCTCTTCTGGCCAAAATGAGACCCCTCAATTTGAGAAGGTGGGCGCAGGAAACTCCTGGGAGAACTCATGGTGTTAATATTTGCACTGCATATGGATGGATATTAGCTATATAACTTAGGGTGTAATATGGCCAAGCACTCGACTAATCGCTTTATTTCCACCCTCTCGTTAAGTCATGGGCTTTCTATAAGTTACGGTAGATTCTTCAACCAAGAACAGGATATAAGAGTCCAAGCGAAGTCCATTAAAACAAGAGGTTGGGTTTTTGCATGGCTGCTTGTTCAGATTTTGAAAGGAAAGACTCCAGCAGCGTGCTGGAACATCAGAGAGGAGTTGAACACATGCTTTGTAATATCCTTCAAGAGCTGCATTTAAAAATAATTAAAAATAATGGCATGGTGGGACATAAGTAATCACCTGTTAATAGAGCTCTTTCTGAGACACCAAGAGTCTTCCTGGCCAGCCCTCTGACCGTGGGGCCAGAGCCAGAGGATGAACTTGACCTCCAGCAAGACTAATAGCCCAACCAAGAAGAATTTGATGATTCCCTGAAGAAACCAAGATGGGATAGAGGGCTGTCAAGCATGTCTGTGTGTGTGTCTGCCTGCCTGCAGGGGGTAGGTGTCGTTAAGACGGAAATGATACCTTCCAGATCAAGGCTGAGTGTGGAAGGAAGGGGTGGGTTGAGTTCCTCGGTGAATATGGCCTTCTCTGGTCCTCACCTCCTCTCTTTAATATGGGCAGGGTTTGAGTAGGAGCAAAAGGACGCTGAAGGACTTCAGTAACTTGTCCAATATAACAACAGCACAGCCATGACCCAGGACTCCCTACCAGGCAGAAGGTCGCTGTCTCTGCGGCAAAGTGGGCTATGCCTCCACGCAGGGAGGGCCCAGGCCGTGGGGACAAGGCTAACGCCATAAAGTAACGGAGCTGCTGCCAACGGTGTCTAAAGGAGACCTCCTGAATCCTAAAAAAAAAAATTATTTTTCTTTTTAAGAAAGCAAGAATTTCTCAAGGAGAGCTGTGCTTTCAAATCTGTGTGTTTCTTTAAGAAACTCCCCCTTTTCTGGAATGCTTTGCAAATGAAATCAATCTCTTAAAAACTACCTTAAAAAAAAAAAAAAGTCCAGACATGCTATTTGCTCATTTAGCTTTGTGGGTTTTTTTAGTTAATGGAGAAGAGGAGGAAAAAGGCCCGGCCAAGCTGAAACAGGTACAGCCACATTTTCTTTGAAGAAGAAGCAAGAGCAACAGTCTTATGGGACAGCCCCGAAGCAATGGATTCCCACCAGGGGGGCCCCCTCCTCAGGCCCACGTTGCTCCAGTCCCCACGGGCTGGAGGAGTCACTGGCCTGCCAGATGCTTAGCCACCTCCGGCATTCTCCTGCCACAGAGTTTTCTCTGGAAGTTTCCATGTGGTCAACAGGATGCCTGCCTCACCGCGGTTGGGAAGATTGCCATAGGAGAGCCTGCTCTTTTATTTTCAAAAAGACAAAAGTTAGGCTGGGATATCTATCTTCCTTGTCTTTTAAAAACACCACTTTTTAAAACTATAAAAGCAATGCATGCTGATTGTAGAAAACGTTTTTTTTTTTTTAAAGACCCCCCACACACAAAAAAAAGAGGGAAATTGATATCTGTGATTCTATTGCACAGAAATAG